TAGGCTGAATTTAGCACATCAAATTACATCGTATTAAGAATTCAGTATAAAGATTTTATGCACAGTACCCATTTAACGTACACAAGGGATGTGTGGTTTGATAAGACAAATTGACCCCCAAAAACTCGTTTCTTGTGTTTCCCCACATATGGAATGGGAATTTCTCGCCTCGATGGGGCTAAGTTTTGTTGCCCCAGGAGGAGTGAGGACGTCCAGCCACGTCCCGTCCTGATTATAAGAAATTATATCTAATTCAAAAACATCTTAACACAAATTTTTATACTTGAAACCTAATCGATTACCTTAGCTCAGTTCCCATTTGGGCTCCATTTTATTCAAAAAACATTTTTCTCTTATCTTTTTAAACATACATTTTTCAATAAAATAATATTACACGTAAATTCAAAACTTTTCCTTCTTTTTTAGCCATATATTCTTAAAAAATTAATATTCTAAATATATATTTTTCTCATAAACACATATTAATGAAGTCCAAATATAGGCTCATTAGCCCAATTCACCACTTACCTTCGAAAATTTTGAAAAGAAAATAAATTATATAAAAGGGACGCTTAAATCGCCATGTCCCATCAATCAGAACTGAAAAATCCCAGATGGGACAGACCATTGGGCAAATTGAATTAAGCAGCAGGTACAGTGAATTTTTACCAGAATTTCCACAGATTTTTGAATCCCTCCTCACATGATGTGGACCCCGCATGTAAAATATTGAAAAAAAAAAATTTTCCCTCCAAGTGTTGTGTGTATCCTGTAGGTCAAATTGTTGTACTTATAACAAGGTCCGGGCAAATTTGTCCCTCTCATTGCCATCCTTATGTGTGGTCTATCATTTTTCTATTGGATTTATAATGTCGATAATCCATAGAAGGAAAAAATTCGTAAATAAGAGGTTAAGTTTCACCTATTTCAAATTTAAGAACATAAGGTTTAAAATTTCAAATGCCATATATTTTTAAAATTTATATATAAATTAATTAATTAATTAATTAAACATATATTTTATGAATTAAATATATTAATGTCACAA